TTTTATCTCTATGCGTATTCTGACCCTGAATTTAAGTATGAGAATCGCATGCTATTCACCAGCTAGCTATTCGTTTGGGGTAGCGATCACAGAATCAAAGGTGTGGCGGAGGTGTGTCTACAGTTATGCCGTATTCTGACCTTGACTTAATTCCCGTGATGAAACGATGAATAAGGTTGCGCAACACGTCGGTTCCAAGTGGAACAACATGTACTTAATTTTGATAAGAGCTATTGATGAGAGGTAAATGAGTAAGCCGTTTGGATAAGGGGATTGTAAATATAAATGACAATTGTTTTAGATCTATTTTACCATATGATCGCTGGAGGCAAACGTGAAACCAGTTATATGGCAGCAAACTGAAGTAAATCACTTGGTATTTGGTATTTTATTAGGATCCCCATTCGCTGTTGCAAAAGCAGCAGCTACTCTTCCTGGGGTCCACACAAAACATTAAACATGACATAATACAGAACATTAATAGACAAGAACAGAACTACATACTTTTTTTTTTAAAGGCGCACGTAGCCTACATATCAGTACATACACACACTAACTAGGTCCAATAGGGGAGAGGCGTTGTGCCGTGAGGTGTTGCTTTATCTGTTGTTTGAAACCAGGTTTGCTGTTTATTTGAGCAATATGAGATGGAACGGAGTTCCATGCAATAAAGGCTCTATATAATACTGTATGCTTTCTTGAATTTGTTTTGAATTTGGGGACTGTGAAAAGACCCCTGGTGGGATGTCTGGTGGGGTAAGTGTGTGTGTAAGTTGACTATGCAAACAATTTGGGATTTTCAACACATTGTTTCTTACAAAAATAAGAAGTGATGCAGTCAGTCTCTCCTCAACTTTTAGCCAAGAGAGACTGGCATGCATAGTATTTATATCAGCCCTCTGATTACAACGAAGAGCAAGACGTGTTGCTCTGTTCTGGGCCAGCTGCAGATTAACTAGGTATTTCTTAGCATCACTCGACCACATGACTGGACAATAATTAAGATAAGACTAAACTAGAGCCTGCAGAACTTGCTTTTTGGAGTGGGTGTCAAAAAAGCAGAGCATCATCACTGTTCCATGATTAGTAAGGATTATTAGGGTACATTACCTTCCAATATCTAATGAATTGAACAATTGAATATGGCAACTTTCAGGAGGAATCAAACCACTATTTTTGATTCACCAATATATTTTTTTGCATAAAGGCTCTCCAAACCAGTTTTTTTCTTATTCATAAATACTTTCCTAACCCTAAATAATATACAAGATCAGAGTATTTTTAAATCTACCAATTGGTACTGAAAAGGAGGGTTAAACTAATGCATTCTAGGAAATATAATATTTCCCCCATATTGAACAAAATGTAAGTGATTAATTAAATATTATAAATTATAATATTATCATACAGGTTTTGTTTTCCTTGATCATTCATTAAGAGTTTCTCCTGAAAATCCATTGTTTCAACATTATTTTATAAGCATGTATACAACATGTTTTATGTTTTATGTACAATATGTATATTTCTACAGGCTACACCTAATATAGAATAGAAGAGGCATTTGATTTCATTGAATTTGACTGAATTCAATTATATTTCATTCAATTCAAAATCGAATTGCAATTATGTGTCCTGTTTACTACTGCAATTCAAATCCAAATTCAAGAATTTAATTTGATTTTATGAGGCATTCTCAATTCAATTCTGAATTGAGCGCAGCCCTGCTGGTGACACTTCTCAATGAACCATCACAAAGATGATCTATAGACTTACTATCCCTGAATCTAATGAGGTCACTACCACTACAGATGGTACTTCTATCTAAATGTATATTTAGGTATTTGTCCTTAGTACATGGACGACAAACAAATAAAAATACGTTGTAAATGCAGGTCCCTGCATGAAGGCTATTATTCCATGCCCAAATCATCAGACAAAGAAGTTTTGTACAACATGCCTTTTCACCGTCAAGTAGCACATGCACTGAAGGTACGGTTGTTCAGCTATTGGGACGGGGCCTCAAGAGCAGGGCACACAGGCACTCCGTTATAAATATATCTGGTGACACTCAATGGCCTATCTCTAACGAGTATAATGTTACATATATCCACCAAGTCACTACAGATGCTAGACTACTTAACTCTTCATTTGGAATTCATCATTTCTTTTCATATCACAAGAGTTGGTGGGGAAAAGTTGTTAACTTAGATTTCATAGTGAAATTGGACTTGGAAACACTGCAATCCTACAATGATTTATATATACACACACATCATTGCTGCCATCACGTGTTAAAATTAGAGTTGTCGTGCCACAAGACAACAACAATGTAGCTAAATCATTTCAAATGCATTTAAAAACACAGCATAGAGTTACACCACTTTATGAGTAAGTAGCATTTTCCTTCACCAAATTAAAAACTTTATATTTTGGTACAAAGTTAACAAGCAAAACAGGTTAAGTCAAAGAAGTAACATCTGATTACGATGAATATGTAATAATAATAATAATAATAATAATATGCCATTTAGCAGACGCTTTTATCCAAAGCGACTTACAGTCATGCGTGCATACATTTTTGTGTATGGGTGGTCCCGGGGATCGAACCCACTACCTTGGCGTTACAAGCATTAAAGCTACACACAGGCTACATTATAAAATACATCGTAATATGTATTCATTTACCTCTGTATTTAGAAGATATTGTCCTCAAAATATAGATTTTTTTGTTTTCTCTTTTTCCAATGCCTATTATATTCGTAGGCTGTTTGCGCTTCCTGCTGTGAGAGCAACGATGTGCAGTGCGCTGAGTGCGACACTGTTGCGTCCGTGCCAAATTAATCTATTTTTGGGTATACCGGGACACTATCCCAGCTACAAGGTGGAGCCACTTCACCTAGTTCTGGAGATACTTTTAGAATAGGCTTTTATTATTCTCACCTTTAAACCTCCGGATGTTGAAAATTGGGGTAAAAGTGACAATATTACAGCAAGTGAGCTAGAGAGGGTATCATTTAAGGCCTCTCCGAGTGGCGCAGCGGTCTAAGGCACTGCATGGCATTGAGGCGTCACTACAGACCCAGGTTCGATCCCGGGCTGTATCACAACATTGACTAAATACAGTAGAATAGAATACAGTATAGACATATGAGATGAGTAAAGCAGTATGTAAACATTATTAAAATATTATAAATTCCAGAAGATAAAGTAACAATAAATGTGTGATGTCCGAGTTCCCTTTACCTAACGTAGTGCATATCTGAAAAGGCATTTAGGTATAAAACTTATAAAGCTAGCATGGAGAGCCCCAGACTATTTTTTTTATATATATATTTTTTAATTGATTAAATAAATAAAAAAAATCCTCATCAATACCCCATAATGACAAAGCGAAAACAGGTTTTTAGAAATAAATGTAATCAATTTTAGAATAAGGCTGTTAACGTAACAAAATGTGGAAAAAGTCAAGGGGTATGAATACTTTCCAAATGCACTGTATGATATAAAAGGAGCAACAATTAATAAAAGCAGAACTAACGGTCAAATGTCCATGATATTTACTGTGCAAAATCTCCATGATCTAAAGTCAAACAGACATTTGGCTATCTAACAATCTCTTATCACAGAATATATTTAAGTAATAAGGCACGAGGGGGTGTGGTATATGGCCAATATACCACGGTTAAGGGCTGTTCTTAAGCACGACGCAACGCGGAGTGCCTGGATACAGCCATTAGACGTGGTATATTGGCCATATATCACAAACCCCCGAGGTGCCTTATTGCTATTATAAACTGGTTACCAACGTAATTAGAGCAGTAAAAATAAATGTTTTGTCATACTCGTGGTATACGGTCTGATATACCACAGCTGTCATCCAATCAGCATTCAGGGCTCGAACCACACAGTTTATAATACATTATAATCAATTAGTCCCTTAGGTCCTTTAATGCACCTGATGAAATAAGTTCCACTTTGGTCCTTTAATGCATATGATGAAATAAGTTCCACTTTGGTCCTTTAATGCACCTGATGAAATAAGTTCCACTTTGGTCCTTTAATGCATATGATGAAATAAGTTCCACTTTGGTCCTTTAATGCATATGATGAAATAAGTTCCACTTTGGTCCTTTAATGCATATGATGAAATAAGTTCCACTTTGGTCCTTTAATGCACCTGATGAAATAAGTTCCACTTTGGTCCTTTAATGCATATGATGAAATAAGTTCCACTTTGGTCCTTTAATGCATATGATGAAATAAGTTCCACTTTGGTCCTTTAATGCACCTGATGAAATAAGTTCCACTTTGGTCCTTTAATGCATATGATGAAATAAGTTCCACTTTGGTCCTTTAATGCACCTGATGAAATAAGTTCCACTTTGGTCCTTTAATGCATATGATGAAATAAGGCTGAAGTATTGCCAAACATCTGGTGATGTTAAAAGGTACATTGGTGAATCACAGTGGACGCTGCTCTAGCAACCACAAGGACATCTGGCGCCATACATTCAAGGTGGCGTTCCTTAGGTTGGTAGACAAAGCAGGTTGACTGGCAGGTGTAACCATGTGGAAAATGCACAGTATCAGAATAGCATATTAAGACAATAGCTTCACACTTTGAACTACATTCTTCGTAAGAAAATGTGCTACATTAATATATTTTGATTTGATATCAACTCGTTTCCATGGGGGATGCTTCACTACCCAACACCCCCTCCTGGGAATTTGTCGCCCCTGAGTAATATACAAGGTTCCAGATATCACAGTATAGCATATTAAGTAAAGGGCATTACACTCATATCACAGTAAATAGCAGCCTCAAAGGCTGTCCAGATTAAGTTATTGTACAGTAATGCTATAAACTAGTTTCCAGTGGGTTGCTTCACTACCACACACCACATCCTGGGAATTCATCACCCCTGGGAAATAGCTTGGTCCTTTCGGGGCTTTGGGGCCAAGGCCTGCGTTGACAGAACATCAATCTGTGGCATTCGGGGCTAGGCCTGGGGCAGAAAGAGGTCCTCCCGGAGCTCTGATGACAGCGGTCGAATCTGATGAAAAATAAACACGTGGCCCGGTCCCACTCTTGTCTTCTTCCATTTCTGCCTCATGCTCCCTATCTTGTTCCACATGGACAGGTGGATCATTCACCCCTCGCTCTGATCACCATTAACAGGGGCAACCCGTGATCCATAGGATCAGTAGGCCTCTCATGGTGCTCTTCTGGAATCGTAACGTTTGCGCTCTCAGTATCCTGCTGGGGGCGTGATCCCACTTCTGGACAGCAACAGGATTGAAATCTTGAACAAATCCTTTGGAACCACTCTTTGCCACCAACAACAACCCCAAGTAGGATTATCACCACCAAAACTGCTACAACCCCAATAACCCCTATATATATGGATAATGTTCCAGCCTCCTCTGATTGCTTTTCTTTAGCTTTGGGAGTGACAGTGAGATCCCAAGAGTCTGGATGTCCTCTCTGTCTCCGCCTATCAGTAGCGGTGATGAAGGAGCACTGGTATTTCCCCTTATCAGAGAGGCGCACGTCAGTGAGGGTGAGGGAAAGGTCTCCGCGTCGGTAACCATCCAAGGATACTGATGCCCTGTCCTTAAACTCATGGTCAACGACAAAATGCCCTGCCGTGACATTCAGCACAGTCTGTCCATCCTTTTCCCAATAGAAGTGTACCTCACTGTCAGGAGTTTGTTTACCGGTTGAGCCGTGGCAGGTAAATGTCACATTTTCGCCAACATGAGCAGCTTTTTCAATGGAGGCCATTACCACTAGTACAACATCCCGTGGATGTTGGGTACTGTTGCAGTAACACTCATACCATCCATTGTCGTTATATACAACAGAGGTGATTTTGAGATCGAGGTCTCTGTGACCGAGTTCAACCCGGCCCTTAAAGCCCTCTCCTGGTGTGAGTCGGCCAGTACCTTGATCAAGATGAGCGACCAATGTGGGAGGCAGAAGTTGTTGTTGCGCCATTATCTGACGATACTTCCATTCGACGGCACCATCACATGATCCAGAGAACCGGAGAGTGACAGAGGCACTCACAACTACTTCAATTGTTAAAGGTGACTTGGATTCTGCAATGTAATATAATAGATGGAGGAAACAAGCAACAAACCTTTTCTTTAAAAACGTATTCATGGTTGTGCTGTATGTGGCGCTCAAGCTAGGCTTCAAATTCCTCTGCTGTGTTGTAGCTGACAGCTAACCGTTCACTATTAGTTAGCTCAGCTAGCTTCACACTCAACTTTAAGTCTGACTTTTTAAAACTCCTCCGAAGAAATTGAACCAGTTGGGTTTATGAAATAACTTAAATGAATCCTGCAAGTTTCTGTTTCTGGGATATCCTGCGTTAAATATGTTTAATCGGTTTCAAAACAAAGTAGCTTGCGTACCATGCTGCTTTTTGCCGGTATTTTTCTTCCTCAGTGGGGTTTATTGGCGGTTGGCATCCAATGTTATGGTGCATTACCGCCACCTACTGTACTGGAGTGTGGGCCAGAGACATGGAGAAACTAAATCCTACCTGCCAGCCCCGTTGCTCTTAAAAAAGATACAACAAATATTTGGAGACTATATCTAATGACGTTCTACTCAATATACTCTTTAAACTCATTTCCTGTATCCCCTTCTCCCTCATACTAGATCTCATCCTCTCTCTTTCCCTCTGATACTGCTCACACTGTAGCAATACGGTCTCTGTTTCCTGACAATAATCACACTTTCCTGTTGGATGCTTTCCTATCACATTTAATGTCTTATTCAACTGGCCGTGTCCCACCTTTTAATCTTGTAAAAAATAGCCTCCTCTCTTCTGTCCCTTCCTGCCATCCTCCCCTCCCCGACTTTCCTCTGTACTTGAAATGCCTTCCCTTATTATCTCTATTCCACTGCTCCTGACATCTCTGCACCATCACTGTATATATCAGTCTTTTTGCCTCTGCCTTGCTCATTGAAACTTCAACATCAACATCCCCACTACTAAGTGCTTGTTTAGCCTGTGCATCTACTGCCTCGTTCCCCTCCACCACCACATGGGCTGGGACCCAAGTAAACATTTTCTGTATACCCATCTGTTTAATCCTGCCATGGGTTTGTAGCACCTCATAAAGCAGGTATTGTCTGCTACGTGAGCTAAAGGACTGGAGACTCATTAACACTGCACTTGAATCAGAGCAAATAACTACTCTGTCTTGTTTGACTTCCTCCACCCACTGCAAGGCCAACAGTATGGCCATCAGCTCCGCCGTATATACAGCCAGATGATCTGTAATACGTTTCCTGACTTCCACCCCACATTCCTGCACTACAAATGCTGACCCAGTACGTCCTGTCCTTGGATCTTTTGAACCATCTGTGTAAATGGCCACAAAATCCTGATACACAGTTTCCAGACGTCTCTTAAAGAAATCAGATGGATCAACACCCTCCCTATCTTTCTGTAGTTTCTCCAACACTTCTAGATCAACTACTGGAGGTGGGAGTAGCCATGATGGATTTACAGGAATAACTACCGTTGGACTAAACTCCCTTCCATACAGTCCCATCCCCTTCGCCTGGGTATTACCCACCCACCCAAAGCTCGTGTTCTGTCTTCGCTCATGTTCCCAGCATGCCTGTAAAATCCCTTTCGCAGGATGAGACACCCCATGTCCTTGTAGGTTGACCCAATAATTCATTGCCAGCTGCTGTATCTTAATCTGCAACGGCATATCCCCCATCTCCACCTGTAATGCAGCCACTAGGGACGTCCGAAACGCCCCACTACATATTCTGAGTCCTTGCCCCTGTATGACATCTAGCCTTTCCAGTGAGGTCCGGGCTGCCGAACCATACGCTATACTGCCATAGTCTATTACAAATCGGATCAATGCAACATACATGGCCCTCAATGAGGAATGCCCAGCCCCCCACTCCTTCCCCGTCAGACAGCACATCACATTTAGCACCTTCTTACACTTTCCCACCACTCTCTCAATGTGTTCTGCCCAGGTCAGTCTAGTATCAAAGTATACCCCAAGGAACCTGAAGGCCCCCACCCTCTCCAAGTTTCTCCCATATAACCTCAAACATACCTCATCTCCCACCTTCCTCCTGGTAAAGAACACTGTTTGAGTTTTCTCTACAGAGAGCCTGAATCCCCACATTAATGAGGCAGGTCGATTTGTTGTTAAAAGTTGCTAAATTACGTTGTGATGTCATTGCGTGATGACGTCATTAAGTAATAACGTAAAACTGCGTCATTATGTCGAAACACAATAACGTTACTCAAATTGACTGGCCATCTCGCCGACAAATATGATTTGACATTTGTTCGTTTAGATTTGTTTGTTTATTATTACATACTTTTTATTTGTAAAAGTAATATAAACACAACACATTTTATATGATCAGATATTTTTCTTTTTAAACACAACACATTGAATTATTGAACAATTACATTTTATTTATTTTCTTATTAACTAGTAAACCTACACATTCTGAACAATTATAGTTTTAAGCAGTGTATTGGTAGTTAGTGTCACGGTTTCGGCGATGGCTGCTCCTCTCCTGTTCGGGCAGCTTCGGCGTGTCGTCCCGAGTACTAGCTACCACGATCTATTCATGTTCGTTTGGTTTGTCTTATGTTGTACACTGTGTCTTGTAGTCCTCTTTGTGCCTATTTATTCTCGTGGTTGTGTTTGTCTTGGTTGATTGCTCTTCTGTTTACGTGTTGGAGCTACGTACTCCCTCCAGTGTTGGAGAGGTTTTCCGCAATGTTAGTGCGCGTTTGTTGCGCCTGGTGGCTCGTGATTCGCCTTCGGGCTTATTGTGCTTATTTTTACGTGAATATTGCACTAAAGTCTTTTGGACTGGGCTTCTGCGTCCTGCGTTTGATTCATGCACCACACCCACCTTCAGCACCCCTTGACAGCTAGTTAACATGCTACCTAACTGATCAACAATTATAGGTACAAGCTAATAACAAGGTGTATATGTTATCTTATTGAACAAGCAACTTAACTCAAATAATGATGTGTGCGCTAGGCATCTCTCTCCAGGTTGTTGTGCTGTTTGGCTGGCCTGCTGCTGCCTGTGCACGAGCTGAGCGCCTGCTGCTGACGTCACTCACAATGCGCTTTTGCAGCCAGGCACGTGTGTTGTGACTGAGTGTGTGACGGAGAAAATCGTTTTTGTGTCATTTAGAGGGAAAATGCGTGCATTTTAGCGTTTGAGTCACTTTTCAAAAAGCTGCTAAAAGTTCCAAATAGATTTTTAAAAGTAGCAACATTTGTTGCTAGGTGCTGTTTGAAAAAAAAGTTGCCAGGGTAGTCTGAAAAGTTGCTAAATCTAGCAACAAAATTGCTAAATTGGCATCACTGTTTGCCAGACTGGTCAGTCTGATTATTCACGTTTCTCGTGACGTCACAGCCCTAGTAGTGCAGATATAGAAGCACTGTGTCTAGGAAAAACTCCCTAGAAAGGCAGGAACCTAGGAAAAACTCCCTAGAAAGGCAGGAACCTAGGAAAAAACCTAGACAGGAACCAGTCAGGCTCTGAGGGGTGGCCAGTCCTCTTCTGTATCATCTTTTTGTCTGTTGTGATGCTTGAGAACAGCCAGATCTCAACAACTACAATAGGCCTACAGTAAATAGCAGGTAATTAGCAGGTTACAAACAAGCACAGAAATTATACTATTATTATTCTGTATTAGTTTAACAGTATTATGAATTCCGGAAGATAAAGTAACAATACATGTACAATGTCCTAGTTCCCTTTAACGAACGTAAGTGCATATATGAAAAGGCGTATAAGTTTAAAGCTTATAAAGCAAACATGGAGAGCCCCAGCCTAAGCCCCTCCCAGCCCATTCAAGGCATTACAGTGATTGGTAGACAGCAGGTCGACTGACAGGTGGACACCGGTAGAACGTGTACAATATAGGAAGATAAAAAGGATTTTGCATATATTTCCTCTTCACTTACTGTATATGTCACAACATTCATTTCCGGTGGCACATGGTCTAATCGTATCCTTTAATTAGCACTCAGTGCACAGGCGATAGGCCAACACAAATTCTACTACTCTAAACCGTTTTATCTCTTGTATATATTTAAGCCTTAATGTGGGGCATCGGCTAGCTCTTCCACACCCGCCTTTCATGCGTTCCTCCATTTCCATGTGGGCTCATTCACCTCGCTGATGGTGTTTTCTAACAGCCACTCCAACATAATCAGACTCTTGGGGCTCCTCTAGAAGGCCTCATATGTTCTAGAAGGCACTGAGTGTGATGATTCCACTTACTTGTTGCGACGACCAAAGGGAAATCTCAGAAATCTCAGAAAACGCACAAATCTCACTCTGTCTACACAATTACCAATAGCAAACCCTGCTAAGAGTACTACAACCCCTCCTACAATTGTAACCACCCATGTCGATGTTGTTGACCAGCACTCTTCTTGAACAGTGAGAGTGACAGCATCTGGTGTTCCCCTCTTTTTAGAGCCGAAGAAGCAGTGGTAGGTCCCCTGATCTGAAGGGCTTAAGTCAGATAGGGTGATGGAAAGGTCTCCCTGTCGGTAAGCATCTTTGGAAACAGATACCCTGTTTTCAAACCCAAGGCCATAGGTCAAATGATGTCCCTTGACAGACAAAACATTCTCTTCATGTCTTTTCCAATAGAAGAGTACCTCACTGTTAGGAGTTTGTTTCTCGGTTAAGCCGTAGCAGTTGAGTTTAAAATTAGATCCAACATGAGCAGGTTCACCTACCACAATGGGGACTAAAACGACTAATTCTACATCTTCTTGAGTCTTACCACAGTGACACTCAAACCATCCCATGTCATTAAATACAACAGAGGTGATGGTGAGATCGAGGGCTATATCCCCGCGTTTAACCCTGTTCTCAAAGCCCACTCCAGGTGTGAATACCGAAGGCTGTTGATCCAGTTTAGCGACCAATGTGGTAGGCCTAATTTCTCCTAATGCAATCTTCTGACGATGCTTCCATTCAATGACATGACCATTGCATGATCCATAGAAGGGGAGTGTAACAGTGTCATTCAAATACACTGTCATACTGATAGGAAGAGAAGTTGAGGATGATCTTGCAATAAGGAGTAGGAAAACAAAGACTCCAGCTGCCTTCCAGGCCATGGTTGTTACCTCTCTTGCAGTGCTCAATACAAGGCTCTAATGATGGCATCCAGAACGTAAGCCTCTTTGTTTGACCTGTGAATAAACTCAGATCTATGCAGCCAGACACAGAGTTCTCGTTCTTCTTTATTTTCCTGGATTTAAGTGTCCTGGGGTAAGGAATGCTTTTTTTTTGGATTGTTCAGTACGTGACAGACTTCTATTTCAACTGAATGTTGTTGTTAGCTTCTGTTCCCGTGAACAAATTGATCAATACGGTCACAATTGTCATTCAAGAAAAGTTCAAAGTCGTCCAAAGCTAAAAGCATTCAGCTGCAGTAGGTAGGCAGTATCACATTCCTAGGCACAGTGGTGTCTGGATGTCAGGTGTTGGTCCTCGGCACAGTGATGTCTGAATGTCAGGTGTTAGTCCTCGGCACAGTGATGTCTGGATGTCAGGTGTTAGTCCTAGGCACAGTGATGTCTGGATGTCAGGTGTTGGTCCTCGGCACAGTGATGTCTGGATGTCAGGTGTTGGTCCTCGGCACAGTGATGTCTGGATGTCAGGTGTTGGTCCTCGGCACAGTGATGTCTGGATGTCAGGTGTTGGTCCTCGGCACAGTGATGTCTGGATGTCAGGTGTTGGTCCTCGGCACAGTGATGTCTGGATGTCAGGTGTTGGTCCTCGGCACAGTGATGTCTGGATGTCAGGTGTTGGGAGTGCTTTCTGAAAGATAGTTCATAGGACAGATATTAAAAAGGACACTTCACCACGTTTTAACTTCAGTATATCTCCAGCACCATACCAGTGTCTACATCTGTGAAAACAGTAATTGTATATGTTCTGTACGTTTAAAAAGATAATGAAAAAATGTCCTAGATAAGATAAAGACCCCATCCCCTATGATGTCTTCTGTCAAATTATCAAGTTATAGGTTTTTTTAGGCTGCTACATAAAATAAAATGTACAAAAATAACTTTGGGTAATTTCCTTTCTCCAGCTTTGTGGAAATGCGTCTTGGTGGATAGGCTTACAGACAGTATTCTCAGCAACTATAGCTGCTATATGGTTTCATGGCACCCAATAAAGGCGGGGTGGTTGATGGATTGTTTTATTGTCTTCACACAGTGCTTTTATGATATCCTGGTTCCATGTTCGGCAGACTTGTTTGTTTGCTAGGTCATCAAATAGTTATAAAATCCTTAGTTGTAGGCAGCGGTGGAAATGGGGGAAAAAACACTAAACCTCTCCAAAAAATATTCAATGATTCACTTGATTTTATTTTACCTTTATTTTACCAGGTTAGTCTCATTGAGATAAAAATATATATATTTTCCAAGAGACAGAAATTATTCAAATTCCTTTAATAAATGTGAAAACATTCTTACACATCTAAATGATTTAACTCCTAGATCCCATGTGTAGGCCTATCATCATCACACACTGTTAGCAAAACCATGTTTGGTTCTCTGTCTGTTGTTTTGTGTATGTTATGTTGAAGAATAACAATGAGGTATCCATCATTTGATGTGAAATGGAAACTGTATAAATCATGTATAACATTAATTCTAAACCAATCATCTTTGAAGTATTTTTGTATTTTCCCCAGTATTCAAATCAAACAGGTTGTTAGACAGTTCCCAAGCCTTGCAAAGTAGATTTGACTGTTACATTAGCCTACTACATAGTAAATGTATATGGCCTTTCAATATATTTATTCAACCATGTCAGCCTAGTGATCGAGGAGAGGACACAAGGAAAGAAAATAAACCACTTCACAAGCAGCCAGGGGTTCAAGATGGTGGATAAAAAAAGATGGTTCACTCAGGCCGTTTATTATTGAAATAAATGGTCAGTTCCGGTCTACTTAACGCCCGGGGTGGGTCTCCCATAGACACCTATGCAACAGCTGCTGGGTCTAGTCTACTTAGTTCATTGACTTTCATTGAACCAGAAAATAACAGGGATTGGGGTGTCTCGCTTACTCGTCCGTCTCTGACAGCCAAGCTCTTCAGTGGGGACCCCACGCCCAACTTCTTAGTGACGAGAGAGGGAGTATACAGTCTTTTCCAAGATGGCAACGACCATAGCAAGCAGCAATGCCGTACAGGCGACAAACAAAAAACATCTCGGAATCCCCGAAGCAATATTTGTGGTGAGTAAAATATGAATTATATACAGTGTGTCGCTTATAACGTTACTTTGTGAAATAAGGCTCTCGAAAATGTATTCGCCGTTGTCCGGCCTCTATGTTAGCCTGTCACCAATGCTAACTAAGCTAATGCTAGGTAGCTACGTTCACGTTATCTAGCAAAGTGGTGCTATGTTCATTCACATCCTTTTAGGGAAATAACGCCGAGAAAGCCCATTAGCCGGCCTGGCTACCGATCCAATTTCTCTTGTCATCCAAATGCAATTAAACAGTTATCGTCAGTTATCTAACGTTAACTCCCTTGTGTGTCACAAATATAGTGTGAGAATGACTCGTCTGATCTAACGTTAATATTAGCTAAAATAGCTAACGTTGTTTTGTCAACCGTTGTAGGAGGATGTCGAGTCGTTTATGAAGCAGCCGGGCAACGACACCGCAGACGCCGTACTGAGGAAACTGGATGAACAGTACCAGAAATACAAATACATGGAGCTCAACTTGGCCCAGAAGAAACAAAGGTAGGCCCCACAGGGGGACCAGTACGAAAATGTATGCACTCACTACTGTAAGTCGCTCTGGATAAGACTAGTGTCTGCTAAATGACTAAAATGTAGAAAAAGTGAAGTTGTACCTGCTACACAGAGCGCATTGTTTTGAGTGTGGAGAGGGGAAGAGTGTCTATTCTATTTTCCCCTTCTGCACTGTACCATATTCATCCATTATGTGTCAGTACAATAGCTTTGGTCCAGTTTTTCGCAAGTCATCGTTAAATTGTTGCTAGTGGTTGTACTAAATTATCCTCTAATTACATAAGTTGCTTTTGTTTACATTGTGAACAGTCACAAGGGTCGCCTTAATGCAGAATTCAGTATTCTTCATGCAGAAAAATTATAATAAAATGCAAGAAATATCTTTCAGCGTTTTGTAAATGGCGATCTAAAATGCTTCTTATTGTAAGTTCTCCTCCGCATCAGACTAATGTTGTGCTTCAGTTGCACTTCTCCACTCGGATGAGAAAACACAAATGGGCATCAGCGGACAGCTCTCTGACAGATGTGTAGCTACTTTTCTCCGGTACGTTTCTCGGTGAAGCCTACTTTTCTCTGGTAAAATGCAAGATTAGCCTCAAGCAAAACATTAGGAAATGTAGCTGGCTACATTCTTAACATGATAAACATTAGAAATATGATGGCCATGCATCGGTTTTGCAAAAATACCTTGCTTTTTCATTGTAAACTCATTTACTTGTGTGGCTGTGGGTCAAATAACGCTGCCGAATGTATTGCACTAATGTATTTTCTGTGAAGAAAAACTATAGTTGCACATCCCTGATTACTCTATTGAAGCACTTTCAATATAAAACGCAGGTGAAATGGTTTTAAACGCGAGCACAATACGGGCAGTATAAGACATTTCGTTGATTTTCAAAGGAAGCGATTCCTCAATGGCTGATGGCCATAGTGTAGCAGGGCCTTTAGCTAGTAAAGTGTGCCTACATTAGGAATGTGACAAATGGAAACATTTTCTTAATGTTTAAACTGCCATTAAAAAAAACAAATCGGTTTAACGTTAAAGCGATAAGAAAAACTCGTAACGTTCCAAATGAATTCACAATGCAGCTGCGTTGCTGCCAGCAACAGTTTGGGTCTCACGGTACGTCCCTTTTCAGTTGGTTAAGCATTGCACCTGTACTACCATTAGTGGACCTCAATTCCACCTCGTAAGGTTAGCGTTTCCTTCTTATTTAACTTCTCAAAGTATTGCCATACAGGCAGTGGTCTAGTGCAATTTTTATAGGTGAGGGATCGCTGTATTTTTTTTTATGACGTCATAATTTCTCGAAGTTTTTACAGACAGATGTAGCCTATTCAATATAATTGTAGGCCTATGCATAAAAAGCATCCTCCATTTGCGACGTCTGTCTATGCCCACACCAATTGTCTAAAGAAAATGTTATATTTTTAATACCCTCAAACACCAAGTTAGCCATACCAAATGTCAAAATAGGCCTTCACTGTCATCGTTCTATAATACATTTTCACATTTTACCGGTGAAATCACTCACATTTACTAAGGAGTGTCTTCCGTCTGGCCACTCTACCATAAAGGCCTGATTGGTGGAGTGCTGCAGAGATGGTTCTCCTTCTGGAAGGTTCTCCCATCTCCACAGAGGAACTCTGGAGCTCTGTCAGGGTGACCATCGGGTTCTTGGTCACCTCCCTGACCAAGGCCCTTCTCCCCCTATTGCTCAGTTTGGCCGGGTGGCCAGCTCTAGGAAGAGTCTTGGTGGTTCCAAACTTCTTCCATTTAAGAATGATGGAGGCCACTGTGTTCTTGGGTACCTTCAATGATGCAGAATTGTTCTAGTACCATTCCCCAGGTATGTGCCTCGACACAATCCTGTCTCTGAGCTCTACGGACAATTCCTTCAAACTGGATTAAATGTAATTTGCTCTGACATGCACTGTCAACTGTGGGACCTTATATAGACAGGTGTGTGCCTTTCCAAATCATGTCTAATCAATTTAATTTACCACAGGTGGACTCAAATCAAGTTGTAGAAACATCTCAGGTATGATCAATGGAAACAAGATACACATGAGCTCAATTTCGAGTCTCATAGCAAAGGGTCTGAGTACTTGCATAAATAAGGTATCTGTTTTTTGTTTTTAATACATTTGCAAAAATGTCTAAACCTGTTTTCGCTTTGTCATTATGGGATATTGTGTAGATTGACAGGGATTTTTTATTTTTTTAAAAATCAATTTTAGAATAAGGCTGTAACGTAACAAAATGTAGAAAAATTCAAGGGGTCTGAATACTTTCTGAATGCACTGTAGGCAGGTCAGCCACCTGACAGACAGACAG